AAATACCCCAGAAATCAACCTGATGACTGACAGAACAAACTCTACAACTAAAGGGAGAGAAGAGGCCACATGGAAGAAGATAGGAAGTACGGAGACATGGTTTGGGGGAGACACAGATCTTGGGTGCTGCAGAGGGAGGGAAGCCATGGTGAGAAAAGGGAGAGAGACAGAGAGAGGAGCACACAGGGGAAAGCACAAGGAGAATACTTCCCCAAAGCCACTGACTTGGAAAATGAGAGGAGCTACATTTCATGAGTTCTTGTATGCAGTAGGGATTAAAGCCTGGAGTTTTAAAGGTCAGCCAGCTTGGTTGGGATAGAGTCTGGAGGGCACTGTGCTGCTCCTGGAGAGATGGCAGGCAAACAACCTGGGGGCAGACAGTGCAGAAACAACGATCTGAAGGGCATCTGGGGCACACAGTGGAGAGATCACACACTTTTCTCAGAGCACTTCCCTGAGAGGCAACATTCACAGAGACACATCTCTGGGAACAATGGAGCTTGACAACACCATTTCCTTCCCCTGCCCCTCAGCATAAATACAGAGCCAACTGTGGAAAGCAGCATAGCACCCACATTGGCTGCTTAACTTGCTTACACTAAGCCCTACCCTCCCTGGGCTCTAGTGGAACTGCCCTCCTCAGTCACGTTTGCCTCAGTCCGAGTGCTGCAGGACCCTGCCCCAGAAGACCAGGACAAATCCCTGTCCATACCATGTCTCCAGACCCGAGAGTTTTGCAGGGCCTCAGTTATGGTGGAGATGGTGACAGGTCTCATTTCACAAGCAGACCAGAGCACACTTAGCTAAAACCTGCCATATTCAGGCCAGGGACCAAACACTGCCCACAGCAGGAAAGGAGAGCCTCTATATATGCCTGGCCTAAGGGGCAGAACAGCCAGAACACAAAAGCAGAGCTCATGCAGCACACATAGGAGACACTCCTTGACATGTCCCTCCCTGGGAACTACATGACCTCTTCTTCATAAGGCCATAACTTTCAGGAGGATATATAACTGGCTTTTCTAACACTCAGAAGAAGGCAGAGACTTAGACAAAATGTGAAGACAGAGGAATTTATCCCAAATGAAAGAACAAGATAAGGCCATGGCCAGAGATCTTTGTGAAATAGACATAAGGAACATACCTGATGAAGAATTTAAAGCAAAGATCATAAGGATACTCACTGGCCTTGAGAAAAGAAGATATCAGTGAGACCCTTACCACAGAGATAAAAGAGTTAAAAAAGAATCAAAAGAGATGAAGAGTGTAATAAATGAAATTAGAACCATGCTTGATGCAAGGAACAGCAGGCTGGAAGATGCAGAGAAACAAATTAATGACCTAGAAGACAAAGTAATGATAAGCAATGAAGTTGAACAAAAGAGAGAAAAGAATTATGCCACACAAGACTAGATTTAGGGAACTCAGTGACTTGATCAAACATAATAACATTCATATTATAGAAGTCCCAAAAGAAAAAGAAAGAAAAGGGGGCAGAAAATTCATTTCAAGAAATAATAGCTGAGGGGCGTCTGGGTGGCTCAGTCAGTTTAGCGTCTGCCTTCAGCTCAGGTCATGATCTCAGGATCCTGGGATTGAGCTCCACATCGGGCTCGCTGCTCAGTGGGGAGCCTGCTTCTCCCTCTTCCCCTGCCTGCTTCTCCCCCTGTTTGTGCATGCACTCTCTCTCTCTGTCAAATAAATAAATTAAAATCTTTAAAAAAAAAAAAAAGGAAATAATAGCTAAAAATTTCCCTCATCTGGGGAAGGAAACAGACATCCAGCTCCAGGAGGCAAAGAGAAGTCCCCTCAAAATCATTAACAGCAGGCCAACACCAAGACATATTGTAATTACATTTGCAAAATACAGTGATAAAGAAAAGATCTTAAAAGCAGCAAGACAAAAGAAGTCATAACTTACAAGGGAAAACCCATAAGGCTAGCTGGAGATTTCTCAACAGAAACTTGGCAAGCCAGAAGGGAGTGACATGATCTATTCAAAGTGCTGAATGGGAAAAATCTGCAGCCAAGAATACTCTATCCAGCAAGGCTATCATTCAGAATACAAGGAGAGATAGAGTTTCCCAGGCAAACAAAAACTAAAGGAGTTTGTGACCACTAAACCAGTCCTGCAAGAAATATTAAAGGGGACTCTCTGAATGGAAAGGAGAGACCAAAAATGACAATAAAAGGTAGGAAAAACAAAAGCAGTATAAATGAATACTTCTCTAAAAATCAGTCAAGGTACTCACACACAAAAAAAGGATATAAATATAATAACAAATACCTAAAACATAGGGAGGAGAGGAAGAAAGAATGGGTTCAAACTTGAACGAACATCAACTTAATATAGACTGATATTTGGGGGTGTCTGGGTGGCTCAGTCAATTAAGCTTCCAATTCTTGATTTCAGCTTAGGTCATGATCTCAGGGTCGTGAGATGGAGCCCTGCATCAGGCTCCATGCTCAGCAGGGAGTCTGCTTGAGATTCTCTCTCTCCCTGTCTCTCTGCCCTTCCCTCTCATGCTCACACTCTCTCTCTAAAATAAATAAATACATCTTTTAAATATATATACACACACACATATATAGACCGATATTTGCAGAAGAGGTTATATACAAACCTAATGGTAACCATATCAAAAAACACTAACATGCAAAGAACAAAGAGAAAGAAATCCAAATATATCACTACAGAAAATCAGCAAAAGATGAAAAAGACAAGAAAGGATCAGAGAAAATCTCCAGAAACAACCACAAAACAAGTAATAAAATGGCAATAAATACATATCAATAATTACTCTGAATGTGAACAGATTATATGCTCCAATCAAGACACAGGGTGTCAGAATGGATTAAAAAAAAATACCCATCTATATGCTGCCGACAAGAGACTCATTTTAGACCTAAAGACATCTCCAGATTGAAAGTGAGGGGATGGAGAAACAATTACTACACAAATGGATGTCAAAAAAAAAGCTGAATACCAATACTTATATCAGACAAACTAGCCTTCAAAGACTGTTAAGAGACAAAGAAGAGCACTATATAATAATAAAGGGGACAATTCAACAAGAAGATACAACAATTGTAAATATTCATGTACCCAACATGGGAGCACCCAAATATGTAAAACAATAATAAACATAAAGGAACGAATTGCTAATAAAATAATAGGGGATTTTAACACCCCACTTACATGAACAGACAGGTCATCTTAGCAGAAAGTCAACAAGGAGACAATGGCTTTGAATGACACACTGGACCAGATGGACTTAACAGATCTATTCAGAACATTCCATCCTAAGACAGCAGAACACACATTCTTTTCAAGTGCACATGGAACATTCTCCAGAATAGAACACCTATTAGGTCACAAACAGGCCTCAATAAATACAAAATGACTGAAGTCATACTATGCACCTTTTCTAACCCCACACTATGAAACTAAAAGTCAACCACAAGAAACTCTTGGAAAGAGTACAAATACGTGGACGTTAAACAACATGCTACTAAACAATGAATGGGTCAACTAAGAAATCAAAGAAGAAATTAAAAAGTACATGGAAACAAATGAAAATGAAAACACAATGGTCCAAAACCTCTAGGATGCAGCAAAAACAGTTCTAAGAGGAAAATTTATAGCAATACAGGCCTATCTCAAGAAGCAAGAGAAACTTCAAATAAACAACCCAAACTTATACCTAAAGGAGCTAGAAAAAGACCAACAAACAAAGCCTAGGACCAACAGAAGGAAGGAAATAATAAAGATTAGAGGAGAAATAAAATGATATAGAAACTTTAAAAAGAAAAAGAACAGGGCAGTGAAACCAGAAGAGCTGGTTCTTTGAAAAAATTAATAAAATTGATAAACCCCTTGCCAGACTTATCAAAAAGAAAAGAGAAAGGACCCAAACAAATTAAATCACAAATGAGAGAGGAGAAATAACCAACATCAGAAAAATACAAACAATTATACAGGAATATTATCAAAAACTATAAGCCAACAAACTGGACAACCTAGAAGAAATGAATAAATTCCAGGATATATAAACTATCAAAACTGAAACAGGAAGAAATAAGAAACTTGAACAGACCAACTACCAGCAAAGAAACTGAATCAGTAATCAAAAATCTCCCAACAAACAAAAGTCCAGGACCAGATGGCTTCACAGGCAAATTCTACCAAATATTTAAAGAAGTGTTAATATGTATTCTTCTCAAACTATTCCAAAAAATAAAAAAGGAAGGAAAACTTCCAAATTCATTCTATGAGGCCAACATTACCCTGATACCAAAACCAAATAAAGACTCTGCAATAAAAGAGAACTACAGAGTCGTCTGGGTTGGCTCAGTAGGTTAAGCATCTGACTCTTGATCTCAGCTCAGGTCTTGATCTCAGGGTCATGAGTTCAAGCCCACATCAGGCTCCATACTGTGCATGGAGCCTACTTAAAAAAAAGAGAGAGAACTATAGGCCAATGTCCCTGATGAGCAGAGTATACTTAATGATGAGCACTAAGTAAGTATAGAATTCCTGAATCACTATATTGCACATCTGAAACTAATATAACACTATATATGTTAACTATACTGGAATTAAGGGCGCCTGGGTGGCTCAGTTGGTTAAGCGGCTGCCTTCGGCTCAGGTCATGATCCTGGAGTCCCGCGATCGAGTCCTGCGTCGGGCTCCCTGCTCAGCAGGGAGTCTGCTTCTCCCTCTAACCCTCTTCCCTCTTGTGCTCTCTCTCTCTCATTCTCTCTCTCTCTCAAATAAATAAATAAAATCTTTAAAAAAAAACTATACTGGAATTAAAATTTAAAAATAAAAGAAAAATAAAAAAAAAATTTTAAGTGAGCATTTCAGAGGAAAGGGTGAGAAGGATATCAATATATATACATATATATGCACATATACACACACACACACACACATACATGGTAGGAATGAGGATATATGCCAGATGTAGGAAACTAAACTCAGAACACCTGCACCTTACCTTCTTCTGAAGAACATTAACCTTCCTCTCTTTCACATCCAGCATGTCCTTGAGGTCATGTATCTCTCCAGCTTGTGTCCCCTTCTCCTCAGCCATATCCTGAATTTGTTTTGTCTTCTTATTCAACATGGTTTCCTTCTCTTCCAAACGCAATCGGAGAGCATCCACCTAAGAATGTGACATTTTTACAAACGATTAGATGAAAAGAAAGGAATGTAATCCCTTCCAAATACATGTGTATAGTTGCCCAAATGATATGTATATAGTAAACTTTCATTAGAATCAAATAAAATATCACTCTAAATATAATTATAGCTATTTAGAAATTAAACCCTAAAATCTTATGAGCACTTTTGTAATAAAAATAAAATTTACATCAGTTAAATATACAATGATACCAGGATAAATAGATCTGAATCAAGGGATAAAATGGAGAACTGTTATAAGAGACTGAGTTTTGGGTTCTAGAGGGGAGGGGGGTGGGGGAATGGGTTAGCCTGGTGATGGGTATTAAAGAGGGCACATTCTGCGTGGAGCACTGGGTGTTATGCACAAACAATGAATCATGGAACACTGCATCAAAAACTAATGATGTAATGTATGGTGATTAACATAACAATAAAAAATTATTTTAAAAAAAGAGACTGAGTTTTGCCACTTCTTTGGAGGGTTTAAACAGATTCCCAGGCCCAGCCACCAGAGTTCTGATTCAATGGGTTTGGGGCACAAGAATTAGTTTTTCTAACAAGTTCCCAAGTGATGCTACACTGCTTTAGAAAATCTAAACTTAGAAAGAAAACCATAAGCATCATCAGGCATGATACTTGCTGTATCACATAATAGAAATTAGAGATAGAATATGATGCTTTTTAGACCAACAATCCCATAATGCATTGAGACATCGTACAAAGGAAAGCAAAGGTCCACTTTCATCCCCAAAGACCAGTCAGCTAAAGTCTGGCATCCAGTTACCTTTATCCCCCAAGTTTAATAACAGCTTTCACTAAATATAACTTTCAAATAACTAGAAATCTAATGAAATCAAAGAAATCGAATGATAGTACTTATTTTTAAATCCATTCAAAGCAAATTTCATTAAGCATACTCACACATCAAATTTATTTTGGGGTTTTTTTGTTTTTGTTTTTGTTTTTTGCTTTTCCACTAAGGATTTACAATTCAGCAAAGAGTTACACATTTATTATAGCAAAACAGGGGGGCGCCTGGGTGGCTCAGTTGTTAAGTGTCTGCCTTCGGCTCAGGTCATGATCCCAGGGTCCTGGGATTGAGCCCCACATCGGGCTCCCTGCTCGGCGGGAAGCCTGTTTCTCCCTCTCCCACTCCCCCTGCTTATGTTCCTTCTCTCACCGTGTCTCTCTCTGTCAAATAAATAAATAAAATCTTTCAAAATATATATATATATATTGCAAAATAGGGACATGGATTTCTTTCCACTTAAGACAGTGTTGTTCTACAGAAATATAACGTGAGTCATATGCAAACCACATATGAAATTTTAAATTTTCTAGGAGCTATATTAAAAAATAAACAAAATTAATTTTAATATTATAACTTGTTTAATCTAATATACCTATAAAACTGTCATTCCAAACATGTAATCCATATTAAAAACTATCAATGAACTATTTTATTTTACATTCTTTGATTCATACTAAGTCTTAAAAGTCCAATGCATATTGTAATTTTTATATTTACAACATATCTCAATTTGGATTACCCTATTTCAAGTCCTCAATAGCCACATATAGCTGGTGGCTACAACACTGAAAGTGCAAATCTAAGATACAAGTATATTTCTATAAAACATCCTTAATCTTGAACTTGTCCTATATTATTTTTCCTGGCTGTCTATGGATTAACCAACCCACAAAGAAAAAACAGGTAACATGGGTAATGACTCACATTTAGAGTACACCAAAACTCTCAGGGAAAATCTAATATTACATCTAAGCTATAACGTATCTGAGAACCAATACTGTGTGTATGGTAGTACTTACTGCTAAGTACTATGGAAAATTTTCCTACAAGACTAGTCTCATTTCAGACTCTGTAGTTAAGTCATTATGTACTTATAAATTATCTTGGACTATGCTGGAAAGGAAAAACATGTAAATAAACCAGATTTCACTCTGCTAAACTACACTTGTACCAACCACTTCAATGCCATTTGTCCCACCAAGCCAGAAATTGGGGAAGTAATCTTTGTAGGTTCCATTTATAATTCTTCACCACAAGTTCTACCATGCCCCCTCAATAAATACTTTTCACTTCTGATTTTCCTCTATTCTAATAATGATATATGGTAACCTTGTTATATTCTGGAAAGGTCCACCTAAAAACTTCCAAATACTTCAATTCTTATTTCTGAAACAACCGTTTTCTTTCCTCTCTACTTACTAAATCTACTCTTGGTGCATAGCACAACCCGTCATCTATCATCTCTTTTTCGTCATTCATCCCTATTCTGGTTTGTCTTGTTTTTCTCCCAGCCTGAGCAATCCTTTCAAACACAGCCTCTTATCATCTCCTTTTTATTTTACTTATTTTACAAATCTTTACTTCTAAATTAAGTGGTTTTCTTCATTCTATCCTCAGATTTCTGAACCTTTCTCCATTTGGTCATGTACATGCTTGCCAACCCTATATATAGTATATTAAAAATCCCCCCAATTCTATCCTCAAGCATCGTATCTTCTTCATTTGCATTCTCCCTGTGGAAAATTTCACTTTCCCATGGCAACCTGGGAAACTGAGACTTAGAAAAGATAGTTATAAATAAGCAATAGAGCAGGACTTTAAGATTAACTGGTCTGTCTCCAGATCCTACAATCTTAACCACTAATTATATATTACCCACTAAGAGCAAGACAAAAAAGTATATACTATATGATTTCATATATATATAAAATTCTAGAAAATGTACACTAGTCACAGTAATGGAAAAGAATAGTAATAGATCAAGGGTTGCCTGGGAAGAGGGAGAAAGGGAAAGCAGTGAAGAATACCAGGGAAAGGCAAAAGAAAGGGATTACAAAGAGGTACAAGAAAATATGGGGGGGGGGCATGTTCATTATCTTAATGGTGGTAATGGAAGGAAATACAGGAAAATACTTTTAAGACACTGAGGCATGGAAGGTTTCATGTTTAAAGACACAGAAAGGGGGGTGCCTGGGTGGCTCAGTTGTTAAACGTCTGCCTTCGGCTCAGGTCATGATCCCAGGGTCCTGGGATCGAGCCCCACATCGGGCTCCCTGCTCGGCGGGAAGCCTGCTTCTCCCTCTCTCACTCCCCCTGCTTGTATTCCCTCTCTCACTGTGTCTCTCTCTGTCAAATAAATAAAATCTTTAAAAAAATAAAAAATAAATAAATAAATAAATAAATAAAGACACAAAGGGTGTATCGTAAGAAAAAATACTGGTAAATCCAACTCTGTTAAAATTTTTAAGACTTCACATCATGATACCATTTTATAGTGTTTGTTTTATTTTTTCATCTGTATTTCATGTGCCTGAAACAGGTCTTAATAAGTATTAAAGAAAATAGATGAATATTTATACTTGCTTTAAAAATGTAGATGTTTTATAAACTGAACAAAATTAAATATGATCCAATATTGAACTTCAATTTTTAAAATTTATGACCATTTACAATCCCTCAAAAAAATTTAAATATCTAGGTATAAATCTAACAAAACATGTGAAGAATCTATATGCTGAAAATTACAACTAATAAACGAAATCAAAGAAGACCTAAATATGTTCTTCCCTTAAATACCTTATGAAATGTAATGTGTCAAGATAGCCAGCCTACTTAAAATTTTCCTCAGAGACATGGAAAAAGAAAAGATTACTTAAAGTAATAAAAAAAAAATGTTTTGCTGACAAACAGTGGCACTACAGTAATGTAGTGAATCCAAGAGATATTACCACTAAGAATGTCCAGTTTTGGTGCGTAAATTCAGCACTAAAGATCTCAGAGCAAGAATTAAAATCCAATGCAAAACAAAGATGAATTGTGTGATTTCCACAGAGTTCCCCAATAGTCCTTTCTGAAGTGCAAGATGACAAAAGTCTTTACATTTCCTTGGTTTTTCTTCACCAACCTACTAAAATCAGAAACACTCTACCATGCAAAGAAACAAAAAGGTCCACAAGACAAATGTCAGAACTGAATATTGATTCAATTTGGAGAAAAGGACTGCCACCACAGAGCAAGGACCTTCGTGGAATATGAAATTCAACAACCAGCCTGCTTAAGATGCCCAACAAGCCCAGTCACCCTTATCCACGTGGCATTCAGGCACTGCTCAAGCCGGCCTGCGTGGCTACTAATCCTATTTGACAGTATCAGATTTGGTTCCTATTAGCTGAATCCATTACAGGGCATCAGTCATGGTGATTCAAGAGGGTGCTTATTGAACCCACTGACTTTTCTGCACAGTTAAAGAGGTCAAAGTCTTAGAAACGTATATATGTCAGAAATTTTAAAAAATAAATAAATCATACACTAAATCATTTGTACCTAACTTTTATATTCTAATTTGTATTCTGTATACTATATATCCTACTTCTAACACATATACCACATATCCCAATAACCACAAGCAAAAAACAAACTCACCTAAAAAACATTTCACACAATATTCCCAAAATGCATTATTAAATTCTTTTTATAAAGGCAAAAAACCCAGACATTTAAACTTGTATGTAAATCTTAACTGCCTAATTTCCTTGTCTCTTAGTTCTTCTCTGCATTAATTTCAAAAAAATGAAATGTTTTCCATGTGTGGGTAAGGAATCAGAATACAGCAGGAATACATCCCTCAGCATTTCTAAATGTTTCTCATTCTGATAGTACTAAAGTCCCATAGAACAATAAATGTAAGACCTCATGTTGCTTCTTCTTTACCAAGAGTAGCTAGATGTCCTAGCTGCATGCTTACATTAGAGCCCTCACTCAGTTAAGTGACCCGTAAATGTGCCAGTGCTAACCAGTCATAAGTACCTGCATGCCATTTTGAGGGACTGTCAGGTATGAGACCCACAGGAATTGGTGACTGGAAAAGGTAAAAAATGAAGACTCTTGTAATAAACACAAACCTTCGGTGTAAGAGTAGCTGGAAATTCAGGCTTTCCTATAAAAAATAT